TCACAGCAGGGCTGTGTGGCTCCCCCCAGCTGGGATTGGTGGCCTCCTGGAGGAGGTGCACCCATCCACATGCCTGGCTCGCTGGGCCAGGTGCATGACTCTTGCCTGTATCCCACAACCCAGGACCCATCGCGCCTGCTCCACGAAGCAGCCCTGCTACTGCCCCAGCAACAGCAGCCGAGGCCTCCCTGCATGGGACCCTCCAGCCCACCTTCTGCTGAGTGTCCCCTGGGGGCTGGCCAGTGAGGGACAGGAGGCCAGCTGGGGCAGTGCTCTGAGCCCCAATGTCCCGCCCTCTCCAGGACCCTCGACCCCTTCCCCTGTGTTTCTGGTCTCCATGAGCTAACAAGGCTGGAGGAAGCAAGCCGGGGTGAACTCTGAACCCTAAAATAAGATGCTAATAAATTTATGCGAGGCCTGACACAGCCTTGGCTCCATCTATCATCAGTCCAAAGTGCACTGAAGGAGAAGGGCGAGAAGGACCCCAGAGCTCACCCAGGGGCCCCCTCATGCTCCTCTCTGCGAGCGCCACAGCCCACTCAAGACCAGGAAGCAGCCTCTGGGTGATCTGCGTCCCGGTCTCCACAGCACAGGCCGGAACCTAAGAGCACTAAAGCCCAGCACATCTGGACACCCAAAGGGCAGTTCTGAGACCCTGTTCCAGGTAAGTACCTCACAGCAGGAGGAAAAGCCTGCTTGAGGTTTTCCTCGGTAGAGCTATACCGATCTAGCGAATTACCAGGAAACTGAAAATATCAAAATGACCTCTTAGAGTTCAGGTTTCCTTTAGATGTGCTGACACAAGCTCTGTTGGATAGCTTACAACATTAGTCAGTCATCAAACACTAAAGTCCCTAAAGTAAAAGTAGGCAAATATTGAGTAATTTAAGAATTTTATAAATTATACAAGTTGCCACTAACCATGAGCTGTTGCTTATTTAAATAAATTTGGGGCATGTTTAATAGGGGTGAGTCATAACAAGGTTAAGAGGCTGGAACAACTTGGAACAACAACCTTTTACATAGTAGAGTCAGCCATTCTGACCTTAGCCAACATTAAAACTACCAAGGGTCACTTCCTCCCCCACCACAGAGGTCTGGTTCAGGAAGCTTTCCCTACCTAATATTTGCTTATTTAAAAGCTTCATGGAGCAAGCCACTTGAATCTACGGGGTCCCCTGGGGTCCTCTGGGGGATGAGGGGACACCCTGTGCCACCCAGAGCCACCCTGAAGGGAAAGGTGGGCAGGTGACCCCCAGGGAGCATCTGGAACCCTTCTGCGAGGGCGGGGCAGGGGTCAGCGAGGGCCTGCCCAGGGCTGCACCAAGGAGCTTGTCAGTCCTTGCCAATGGGAGACTGCAGGGAAGCCCCGAGGAGGACCACAGCACCCTCCGGTTCATTTCAAATCACAATGAACCACAATTGCGGGTGGGGAGGCTGTCACCCATGGCAAGGGGAGAGTCCTTACCTGAGCCTGGTCCCAGCGCCCCCCCCATGCAGCTGGGGAAGGAACTTGCCATGGGAAGGGGGCACCCCAAAAGCTTTATTTCTTCTCAGCTGTTTTGATTCTAAGACGGAAGAAGCAAGCAGCAAACCCTACTGACTGAAAAGCACACACAGAGCCAAAGGGCTCTGCACTGACTTGAAGATAAAGGTCTGGTTTCAAATGAAGTTGGCGGGGACATTGCCACCATCTAATTTAATAGAAACAGCTCCTCCTAAGCTTCCCTGGAAGCTGCCTTGTGCGCTGACAGAGATGTGCACAAACCCCGGATGAGCACTGTCTTCAAGTCAAGGGACAAATGGTTAAAAAGACTTTCTCACACATTTCAGAAAGCCCCCAACAAGGGAGAATAAAAACACGGGAGCATCCTCTTTGGCGGGGTACCATGCACTCACCAGCCAGCGAAACAGTTCCCAAGACTCCCGAAGGCTAGAATCTTATGCATTTTAAGTATGCATCTACGTGAACTTTCCAAGCATGGGACAAAGAAAACCACAGCGAGGAAGCACAGAGTGTGTGGGGCCATACCTTTCCATACCTTTCTCCATCCTAGGACGGTAAGAAAAAATGGGCACAAAGTGGCAAAGACACAAAGGCTGTTCATTTATGGTTACCATGTCGTCACTAATTCTGAACAAGTCTTATACCACAGAAGACAAGCAGAGCCTGCCAGACATCCAACAGCCTCCCTCAAGAACCTGTGATGCTGGGCACACTAACTGCCTCTTCCCGTCTGATAAGCAGAGAACTCTGCCCCCACCTCAGGCTAACTTACAGGCGGCACAGAACGCTGACCTTAATGAAATCCATGTCGAGTTCCATTGCTCTGGGAGACCAGGAAATCATCTGCCCCTTTGGATAATTTGCTTCTCAGCCTGCCAGGCTGCAAGACTGAAAAGAAACAGTCTGAAAACGTCTCTCATAAAGTGATTTCTAATGATGGCCAATGTCTTAAAATTTGTTTTAAATATGCACTTTACTAGTATTCAGGCTTAAATACTGCATGAGTTTTTGTATATGAGAATCCCAAAATAAAAATAATCTAAAGAACAAAATAAAAGATGACAGGAAACAAGGGACAGATTTTTTGCACAGGGGAAGGGACCTGACAGAGGACAGGAGGGCAGGAATTCAGTGTGTCTCATATGCATAGTGACTCCCCACAACGAACGTGGTCACCCTGTACTTCAGACATGTACTAATGCAAATAAAAACTCAAACAGGCGAAATTAACACAAACTGTCATCTAGCTTCATGTGACACATTTATTCTGCATCACAAACGCCTGACAGTGGTGACATGACCTGCATGATAATCACCTCGCTTTGATTTAATTATCTGGCCGAATAAATGGATGAATTTTCACTCACAGGCTGATGGCTTCAGTTTCCAAGGTTCTTGCTTCTTACCCTAAGGCAGCCACAAGGAATAAAACCAGAGGTGGTCCCAGTACAACACATGGTTACAGCCCAAAAGTGCCCATGTGGGGGATTAAAATAAACATCAGACCTAAAAGGTAGAAGCTGGAGCGGAGAGACTCTCTAAGGGAGTCTTTAGCAGGTTCTTTGCTGAATGCATTTATTTGGTTACTTGATCTTCTTACCAATCACATTAGCAATGACAAAAGATATGTAAATTCACAAGGACAATAGCCAGCCAATCTGCTCTGAGTCAGACCCAAGAGGGAGATGCTTTCAGCAGATATGCAACCTGACCCAGCCTTCCAACCTCCCCATAACCAGAGAACGTTTTAGGAGTTACGCTTGGCTACAGCCTGAGAGCTATGCCATAATCATGGACCAAGAACAATTCAAACAAGGGTCGACTTTATTTCACAAAGTAAGTTACCATACGAAATCTGCACATGACTCAAACCCAGAAGAATGATGCGTTTACCCTGTCACAGCTGAATAATTGCATAGCAACAAAAAAAATATGCATTACTAGGTTTGAATCACCATTTTATTGTATGCTTTAAGCAAACAAAATACTACATTTTGGGGAACAATTTAGGACTAACTTTTCCCTCTATTCCCCTCATAAAACTCAAAACTAACTTATCATGATTAAATTATCCTTAAAAACCATATGATCGGTATACTGAGAATAACAAGCGATTCCACTGGATTCGCTTGTTTACTATGAAAATAAACTGACCCAAGACAAAAATGGATCTCTTATAAACTCTGCTATGAGTAAGCGTGAATACAAAGCTACGATTATCAAAAGGCTGCACGGTTCTGCTGGCATTCTCTTCTTCTGCCCAGCTACTGTCATTTCACCTGGAGAAAGCAGCAGAAAGACTAACTGCCAAGTTCCAGATCCCAACTACTCAGTTGGAGCTACAATCTGTCAAACAAAAAAAAACAGCGATCTTAGTTCAGTCCCTAGTGGACAAAAGGAGAATAACCATTACTTGGCGGGTGATTCAGCAAGCAGAAACCTAAGTCACTGTGACCAGACAGGAACAAAAAAGAGCACTGGTCTTTTCCCTCTGGTATCCTCTTAAGGTTGCTCTCTTGACAGACTGCTTCGGAGGAGCCGGGCTGGGTGTCTCCCGTGGGAACCCAGGAATCTGTTACTGCAGGCAGGCGAAGGCTGCCAGTTCACCAGTGAGGACCAGGCCACCCTCCTGCAACTCAACCCCCTCAGCACAGCTGCTTACCTGTCACACAGCCACATAGAGGGCAGAGAGAGAGCTGCAGGAAGGCTCAGTGTGCCTGACTTGGGCATAATTTCAACAGAAACTTTTCAGTGATTTGTAGGGAAGGGAAGAGGCCCTTCCATTTGATCCCTATGCTTTGGGGTCAAATTCATATTCGACCTAATTTTCACCTGGGTACTGAGACCCATGGACCACCCCGTTTCCATAGCCCACGCGTGGGAAAAGAGGACCCTGGGATCCCGACGCCTCCTTGGCACCTCGGGCAGAGCTACAGGTGCACATCTGGGTGGACAAAGGCCAGGGAGCCGGCCGTGAGCTCACATCAGCATTCACCTTCCCGACCTCCTCTCAGGCACAGGAGGAGGAAGACATGCACGACAGAAATGAGTGCGCTTGCAAAATGCAGTTTCCTCCCGTGCATGCACAGTTCTGCAGCTAGACACCACACGAGTGGTTTATATTCTTACTCTCACTTCACATTACTTTCGCTAAAGGTTGAAACAAATTAAAAGTTTTGCGATGGTTTCTGGTGCTAGCATAGTTTCCCAGGGCAAAATCGATCTGTTCCTGCATTGCTGCTGTCAGGACCACTTCCTCCTCCCACCGCTGGCTCCTCTGACTGACTCCAGCTTTCTTTGCTGAAGTTGGGTTTGACAGACAGAGAAATCAAGACTAACTTTACAGTCCCAAGTTGTGCCAGCTTGGGGCGCACGCAGGGGAGCGGGGCTTGCACACGCCCGGGGAAGTCTGCACACACGCCGGGGAGCTTGCACTCGCCCGGGGAGAGGGGCGCCTGCAGGCTTCTAGGCGCTCCAGAGCACCCGGACTCACCTTCTGCAGCCACTGCGTGTAGTTCTCCATGGCGTGCTCCAGGTGCTGCAGCCGGCGCGCAGGCGGCTCGGGCTCGGCGTGGGGCGCGTCCCGCTGCAGCGCGTTGTTGCTGAGCGCGTCGCCCGCGCAGCCCGCGTCCAGCTCCGGCAGCACGAAGGTGTAGGCGCAGGGCCCGTGCTGCACGCGGCTGAGCCTGCGGGCGCCGGGAGTCGGGGCGAGCGCCAGCGCCAGGGCGAGCAGCGCTAGGCCGGGGGGCACCCCCATGGCCCCTTCACAGCGCGCGGGCCATGCGCCCCTCCGCCGCTCGGGGGCTCGCGTGAAGGCTGCACATCCACGCCTGCTCCGAGGCGGCTTGACAGGAATGCGAGTGTGTGCCCGCGCGCTGCCGGCTCGGCCGCGATCGTCTTACAGCCGGCTGGTGCTCGTGACCTCGGTCCCGCAGGCCCCGCCCCTCCGCAGCCTCGGGGAGCCAATAACCGGGGCGGTCCACCTTAACGCGCAGTAACCAGGGCGCTCCACCTTAAGGCGCCGGCCACGGAGGCCTCAGCGCCCGCCCGCGCCCGAGGAGCAGGGAGAAAGTGGCCCAAGTCCGGCGAGGTCGCCTGGCTGGGAAATGATGCATCTGCACGCTGATTAAAGTCTCCGGAACTCTTCCTCCGGACGGCGTGGATGAGCGCTGACCTTAGGCCCGGCTGTCACCCAATCCAGCAGCTCCTGGAACCCAGAGGAGAAAGCAGCCGCGCACTGCCGCCCCGGGTCCCCTGGGTCTGTGGCCCGTCCCCCGGGCACAGCCGCGGTGGTTCCGGGCCTGAGCACCCGCGGGGAGATCTGCGGGGTTCCTGGACCCATCCGCAGCATGCAGGGTGCAGGGCCAGAGGGGGCGGGGGACAGCTGGGGGCGCGAGGCGGTGGGGCCAGCAGCGCAGGCCCGGGCCTGCAGGTGAGGTCAGGCGGCCTGCAGCAGCCTGGTAAGGTCCCCCGCCCTGCCCAGAGCAGCAGCAGCTTTGCCCCCCACCCCAGACCCCGCAGGACCCAGGCCTCCACAGCACGCCCACCCCACTGCCCTGCACAGGAGACTCACCCTGTGCCCACAGTGTGTCATGCCTGTCCGGGGCTCCCCAGTAGGGCTCCTTTCATCATCGGAACAAGCCCTCCCATTCTGTAGGGAAACTGAGGCACAGACAGCAAACCGCTAGTGTCCTAACTAAAGGAGGGTCTCTCACTGCTTGGCTAGGGAGCTTGTCTCTTCCAAAAGAATGAGAAGGAATGTACACTTCCTGAGGGGCCACATGGGTGCCCAAGAAAAGGAAGCCTGAAATTCAAGGTATGTGGCACAGCCTGTCATCCAGCTCTGGGAAAGCTGAGGCAGGAGGATCCCAAATTCAAACCCAGTCTGGACACTAGGGGAGACCCCGCTCAAAATAAAACAGGGTGGGGAATGTGCGCAGGCCGAGTTCAATAACTCCAACTGCATAGAAAGAAACAAGTGTGGGGACACAGCCAAAGGGAGACTGCTTCATCTCTGCAGGAAAAGCAGAAACCATACTCTGGAAGTGCTAGGGTCGCCCTGGGAGAAAGCCTGAAGGTTAGTTTTTGGAGCAACAGGAAAACTTGGCTGCCTGGCAGCAGGGGTAGGAGGTGCCAGCTCAGGGAGGGGACAGAGCCTGGGGTCACAGGCGGGGCTATGCTGCTGCTGTGGGGATGCTGCACAGTGAGGTTCAGGGTTACGGGAGCAGGAGTGCAATGGACAGGCCAGTGGTTTGTAATTTCTGAAACGCACCACAGGACTCAGAACTAAAGGATTCTGCTCTGCGGAGTCCTGTGGTCGCTTGCTCTTGGAGACCACACATCCCATTCAGGTGATCAGGCCTGGAATTTGGACTCAGGCTTTATGGTTCTGGTCTCCTGTAGGCATCCGGATCCCAGGGCCCGGAACACTGTTCACAGGAAACTCACTGGCCCCGACGCACCTTAACTCTCTTGAGTCTTTGTGAGGCTTCTTGCAGGTGACGCGGTGTGAGTGGCTCTCTCTCCGATTTCAGTGGCCTGCTCTGGTACCCACCTCAGGGTTGCTGTCTGCTCTCAACCCCCACCCCCCAAACTGTGAGCGCCTACGTGGTCGCCTGGGTCTGCATCGATGCCCCGGAGGAAGAATGGATGAGGGAGGGAGAGGCCACCAAGCCCTCCGATTGTCAACCGTGGCCGTCTCTGCTGGCCTCCTGGGTCCGTTGCCTGGACTCTGCAGATGAGGGCTGGGGAGAAGGCAAACTGGTCCTGAAGGAGTCAGGAAGGAGGACACCGCACAGCAGCAGAGCATCACAGTTTTGACTCTTTACACGTCTTTCCATTCAGCGCTTGCAGAGCCCCTCCCACTGTGTTGCTTTTGCCATTTTGCAGAAGAGAAACCCAGGGTGTGGGAGGCAAAGTGTGTGAGCCCCTGGTCTCTTCTGTGGCAGAGCAGAGATCATCCTGACCCCTGGACGGTCTCATCCATTCACGGCAGCCTGTTAGAAGGGGAGGAAATGGCTCTGAGCACGGGGACAGGGCCCCAAGGCACCTGTAACCACAACTAAGACCACGCTACGGTCTTCCAGCCAGGATGTCCCAGTACAGCTGTCCCACCTGATGCTGACAGAAAGGCATGTGATGAAGTTTAGTTTTCTCCAAGTGGTGGGCCCCACGCCACAGGCCCTGTCCAGATCCTGTCACCTCCACTCTAAAGCAAAATTCAGTGGTGCGGTACATGTAGGGCAGGGTGTGTTTCCCAAAGGCCCACCAGGCGCTGAGATGCCAACAAGCACCAGGGGTGTCACAGGCTGGGAGAGCCTCCCCTCCCCTCCTCCACCTCTGTGTCCTGGACTGCGGTGGCTCAGGACACCGAGGCCTCTGTGTTCCTGAAGACCATCAGGACATCTCAGGGCTCTGGAGCTGCATTCGCAGCCCTGGTTGCACACTTCCCCCTCCTCGCAGGAGCAACGAGGCAGCCACGTGGGTGGGAACCACAGGAGCTGAGCTGGAAGAGGACGTGGAGTCTCACTTGGTGGCTGGGGGGTGGGACACAGTGCACAGGGCAACAGGAAGACACTGGGCCTCTGAGTGGGAGGAGGGAGGCAGGGAGCTGCAGACCCGCAGGGAGGAGCAGAGGTCACAGGGAACGCAGCCCTGCCCACCGGTCTGGTCCCTGGCTGGGATCCTGCTGGCCAGTAAAGTGACTGAGAAACAGTAGGAACCAAATTCACTTGCTCTGTTTAAGACAGACGGAAGAGAGTGGGCCTGTCAGGGAGATGCTGGAGCCGGCAGGCAGGCACAGGCCACGTGGAGAGCAGTGGCAGGATAGGCAGAGGAGGCCCTAACCCTAAGGTGTGGACAGCATGGTACTTCCTGAGACAGTCAGAGCTCCTATCTCTTCCCAGAAAAATGTGTGCCTTGCGGCAGGCAGGTGACTTCTTTAGCATGAATGAGAGAAACTTGACCTGTACTGTACCCTGGGAGCAGCTGCCGTCGGAGGCCAGGCACTGGTGTGGCCTCAGGGAAGGTCACTTGTTCGGTGTGCATCTGCACGCTGCCGTACTCCTAGGGTGAGGCTGGTGTCTGCCAGGACCCCTGAGCCTCTCCTGCTGGCACTCAGAGGCTGATCAGTAGACAGGTGCTACAAAGCACTGCACCTCAAGTCCTAGGAGTGTCCCCTTCCCTCAGACACTACCTCACCCAGGCCTCCATTTCTAGCGAGACCACAGAATGAATCCAGAGTGGGCAGCAGGATGACGCCGGGCACCCCAGTCCAAGTGGGATTGGCGTGGCTGTGGAAAGCATGGCAGGAGCATCAGGATGAGCGTCAGGATGCCCTACTGGTATGACATTCCGTGCTGACTGAGCCGGAGAGTGCATCCAGGAGTACAGAGCCAGAAGAGGAAGCCCAGGAACTGCCACCCACGAGGCTGGGACAGCAGGTGCCACCTGGAAGGAGCGTGCAGGATGGCACTGAGCTCAGTAACGGACCCTTCAGTTTCCCCCCAGAGCTCCCCATACCCAGGTGAGAAGAGTATCACGGGCTCTGTGCCTCAGCAGCATTCCCAGCTCCAGAAAGATCGTGCATTTCAGATTCAGACTCACAAACAGCTGCCCCCGGGCACTACCGAATTCATCACGTAGGCATCCAGTGAGACCAGTCTTGGGGTTGGAATCAGAGGCTGTGACATCCTCGACTCACCCGGGAATAAAAAGACCGTGAACGGTCACTGCAAACTCTGCTCATGCTATGGAAGTGGAACCACTGGCTGTCCCCGGGCTCAGGGCCTCACGCCGGCGGCCCTCCCCTGCCCTGTCTGCTGGCCTCTCTCCCACTCTCTACCCCGTGGCCTGGTGGGACCAGGGCTGCTTGGTCTTCATGGTGTTGTCCTTTCTTGTCTTGGCTGCTGCATGCTGGATGACGTGAGGGCTCAGTGTCCACGTCTGCAGAACAAAGATCGTAGCAAGGGCACCAGCTTTACAGAGTGCCCTGGGGATGAAGGGAGATAACGGCTATGAAGCGGGGGCCCGGCCTGGTGCGCATCCAGGGCTCCGTTCCCTTTCTGCATGTGTGTTCCTTCTGGTGTTCCAACATGGCCTTGTTTTTTAGCTTGTTTAATGAAATTTTATGACCACACTAATCCCAGACCCTATCGTATCACCCCTTAAATGTGTAAGATGGTTTTTGAACCTCATTTTAAAAATCACACGTTGAAGAGGCAGAGTCCACAGTGGGCGGTTGGCCGAGTTCGCTGGGATGGCTGTGCAAACAGTGCTGGCCTCTTCCAGGGGCTTCAGTGTCCTTCCTCTGGCTGGCCCGGCTGCCCTGTGCCCTGCACCTGGAACAGTGAGTGCCTGGCACCCAGTAGGTGCTGAGTAAATCTTTGTCGAATGAATGAAATGAGTTGGAAATGACTTAGTAGGAACCTTCCACAGAGGCCAGGGAAACATCTAGCAGGACAGAGACTCTTGAGCCAGGTCCGTGTGGGGATGAGGATCCTGGTCCTGAAGCGCTGGGAGAAACCTGGTGTCGCTTTAGCTTCATCGTGGTGACTTGCTGCCCTGTTCATTTCCAGCCAGCTCAGCCAGATGACCTTCTACTCAAGAACTCCTCCCGGGAGGAGGCCGGGCCGGGGCAGTTTACCACTGGACTCTACTTCCTGGGAGATCGTATGTTTACTCTGATGCGGTAAAAATGACTTAAACGCTGGTATTAGTCTAAAAAGATAACGTGTAGTTCGGTAGGACTTACGTATATGTAAAGGAAACTTTATTTATATATTTTTTCCAAAGCCAATTATACTTCTCTGCAGGATCTAATCAAATTGAGAATCTGGCAATTAAATTGAGAAATAAAATTCCAGTGGAACATAAAGTATTTTAAAATGATTGCTTTAATAAAGTTTTTGGGT